GCTGTATGGCGCTTGATGTAGCGGACTCCTGCGCCCAAAGTCTGCTCGTTACCATTAATTTCCGGAGTGTAGAATTTTTATTTATTTTCTTCACCCATCAGAGTTGGGTTAACAAGCAATTCTGACTTAGTATTAAAGGAAGAAAGGCTATTCGCCACCCACTTTCTCAGTATTGCAAGTTCAAATTTTCTTACCCCAGGTTGCGGAGAGGGCATTGTACTTCTGGAACAACGAGTATATCATGAGCCTCATTGAGGAGAACTCGAATGTGATCCTGCCTATAATGTTCCCAGCATTATACAGAATTAGCAAGGTAAGCTTGTCTTCTCATGTTCATGATTCCCTCGTAATCTTCACCATTACCCTTTTTTTTCTTTGCCTTATGTTCTCTATATACTTCTGTATTTTAGACATTTTTCAGAGGCTATGCTCTGTACATGGAAGAAATTACAAGGGATTTCTCCCATGTTTCTACAGTTGAGAAGGGATTCTGTGACAGTGGTGTGTTTACATCATCAATCGTGTCCTAAGCACAGAACTGTCTGTGGACAAGACTTAGTTCATGGTTCAACTTGTAATATAAGATATATATATAGTTACAAAGAACAGTATTATGAAGCTAAATTAACAGTTGTAGTGTATATTAAGCAGATTTCTTTCCTCTCTTCTTTCCTTTCATTGTTTCTTCTCTCCTTCCTATTCTTCTACAAAGTATCAATAAGATATGTATGATAAACCTTTACTTCTCTCAGTGTTAAGTCCTTTAGGGTCAGAGTTCTTAAAAACAAAGGATGTGAAACCTGAATCAAATTTTCAACAGACAAAATTGGTTTACTATTTCATTTAAGTAATGTACTCATTTTGCATAAATTCTTCCTTTATACAGTGTTTTATCAAAGATTATTAGGTTGAGAATCAAAACTGCTCTAATTTTGTGAATGTCATTGTTTTATCCATAAACACAGCTTTCTGCTACCATGCATTCTGGTGTCACATTACAGCTATCATACATACTTTCAATGTAACTCCCCTCTGCTAACATGCACTAAAGTTTGCTATTTTACACAAAATTAGGCACATTGGTTGTGTACATGGCATTATCCCATTTTTGATTGGTAATATTAATAGTAGTTGGCAGCCAGTGATTCCATAGTAGCCTACATGCCTACATTCAGTCAAGAAGTAACAATGATGGCCTTTTGTGTTCTCAGTAAATTCAGTATTTATTTTGTTGAATTATAGTGTCTTTTTGTTTCTTGTAATGTTGCTAAGTGTTGGGGCAGTGCATAGGAGAAAATATTAACAAAATATTCATGTACATTGTCCAACCAAGAACTAATTAAATATGATTCCCAAAAAATCTTTGGTTCTGCTGTTGCATATGTTCACAATCACATGCAGTTCATTACCAGTTAGAAATGAGAACTTGTATGTTTTGAAAAGAATATCAAAAATTCATTTCAAGAGTCAAAGATACCAAAATTTATGTATATCAATAAAGGAGTTGTGTAATGATTGACATGTTGATTATTTCAAAGATTGTCGTGGCAGTTTACCAGATTTAAATCCAGTTTCAATGAAATTTGCATGTTCACTAAATACCAGTGCAATTGGAATATAATGAAATATTACATTAAATATAACATTGTTCATAAGTGTAGATGATTCATGTAACTCAATTATAGGTAGGTTCTGAAATCCTTACAGCAAATTCTGTATGTAGATGTTGTCCCACACTTTTAGCAAATACTCTGTGTCACACTTGTTAGATTTAATATTAACCTTACATTTAAACTACTCAGTGCTTTTGAATATATTCTAGTCCCCTGTAAAGTTTTATATATGTATTTAGATTAAAAAGTAAATGCTATAAAGTTTCTGTCATACTGTTATCATTATGGACTCATTATCAAATGAGAAGAAAGACCATGCGTGGTCTCCAAGCATTGTGTTAAATGTTTCTTGTATTTCATTTGTGTGTGTTTTGTGATAGAAAAGTGTGTTTATATGTGGTACAATTTGACATAATTTTTGTTAATTTATTTGATCTCTCTTTCAGGAACACTGGAACCAGACCATTGTTGCACTAGTTTATAATGTGCTCAAAACATTTATGGAAATGAACAGTAAGCTGTTTGATGAACTTACAGCTTCTTATAAGGCAGAGAGGCAAAGGTTAGGAATACTTCTTCATTTTGTATTTGTACATTTTGTCCATAATATTTGAGGAACATATACATAGGACATCCTTTTCAGCCAAAATTGTTCTTGGCAAATTAGTAAACCCTATGCAAATCTACTTGTCAAACCCCTACTCATATTTAACTATTATTCTGATTGTGCTTATTCTTGGCTCACAAGATTGGCAAAACTTACACTAAAAGACCATAAAAAAAAATGTACTTTAAGGGAAGAACACACAAATTTCATGCATACCATAATTATATATATTGACATATTATATTATTTTTAAAATTTTATTACTTCTGGGTCTCAATATATTGATGCCTGGGGTCCACTGTTTATTAAACCTTTGCTAGTGGGTAATTTTCCAATGTGCAAGCCCACCACCCTGAGTGATATTCATAGTGGCTTGGGACTACACGCTGGGGTTTTGTTTCATCACCCCTAGCACATATGGCTACTCATGCACAATACCAGCACTCGTTGCCTTTTCTTTGTAGCACTAAGAAACTTTCATTTTCTAAGATCTATATTTGCCATATTTTCTGATAAGTCAAGACGGTTCAATTTTTGTTGTATAGGCTCCATAATTGATCATTATTTGCTCTTTACTCAGCTTTTGTTTCTATATGAGGTTTATATTATCATTGTATACACCATATAGATGTGAATTTCTCTGCACACAGTGTGGTTGTAATATATTTGCATCATATATTCATAAATTAATTTTGATGATCGTGATATAGGCTCATAGTTAATTTGTGAAGGTTATGTTTACTCCATATTAGTACATAAAGTGCTCCAGATTGTAATAAAGCAACTTTCTTTTTCTCTTCTTATTCTTCATTTCTTTTCTTTTCTTTTTTTTTTATTTATTTATATATTTATTTTTTCATTATACAAAATATGGGCATTTTAGGTTAATGAAGTGAAATATAAGCATGTATTGTCTCTCTTTTTAATAAAGTTTCCATTATTCCAGGGAGAAGAAGCGTGAACGAGAGAGGGATGAACTCTGGAAGAAGCTACAAGCACTAGAGCTGAATCATCAGCAGAAACAACAGTGAGAATACATGAATGGTGTAGTGCAGATGGTCGGAGGTTGGCCTGAGAAGTGGCGTCATAATGGTGTGGGCGCGCTTGGCCCTACACCCTTCCTGATGATCATGTGGGCCTGGGGCTGGACCTGTGGAATACCATCACCAAGTTCACATGCATCAACCATACAACTCAATTTAGTTTTGAATGTATTCTGGTCATAAAAATGAAGCCATAAGCATAGCTGTGCAAATTTTCCGAGTCCTGTTGTTGTAGAGACATACGTGTAAGCTACTGAAGAGTGATGGTGCCCTGGATAACCTTTAGGGGTACAAACTATACCCTTTCCCCAGGTAACATCAGCAGGGAAAATGGTGTAAGGATAGCAATCTAGGCTATATGTCTATTCTGTATGTAATATGTACTATATGGTAGCCTACATAAACTGATGACCTTTGTAATTACTCAGTAGGAGAGATTGTAAGATGTGTGTATGAGATGGGAGGAGCGTTGAAGGTGCTGTTTGGCTTGGAGAAGTTACCGAGAAAAGAGTGGCCCTGTACATGTCCCACAAGATGCGGACCAGTTCGCTGCTCCCTGTGGGGGCTGTGCTATGCTCACCAGTTCCTTGCTAGGATTTGGTTCAAATTGAATTATTTACAAATGATTTCATGCATAGGTATTGGGCCTAATTCTGGGTTATGATTTACTTTACTGGACTTTTTAATCTACTATTATAGGTAGGCCAATTGTTGTGTTTTGGAGAGGGCTTTTAATATTGAACTGATCAGCAGGTTGTTCAGGTCACAAAAGTGAATTTGTGATTGTAGTTTCCTTTGCATTAGTTAGGAAATAGTGTATGTCATTGCCCAAGTTTGATTCATGCAAACCACATTATGTCTCCTCTGTCTGTCAAGGTAGTCATCCTTTCCTCTCATGATTGTACATAGGTTGAGAGTCTGTGTGCACCAATTCTTGATGCTATTTATAGCCATTGTGTTGTGGCCCAAGTAGTCACTGGGAAAAAGAACAAAAAGTTACAGGACTTGGTCTTGATTTGGCAATGTCTAGTCATCCCCATATGTGTGGACTTGGGGCAATGAGGCCTCACTGTTTTGTAGTCTAGTTTATGTGGATGATTTCACTTGCTTGTTGTCCCCTGTGTTGCTAGCTGATCAGCTGGTTGGGAAGCACGGGCCCCACTGGTCAGTAAGTTGGGTAGTAATGGAAAAGCTACCCAGTTTTACTGATCGTGCTTCCTGTGCTGAGTATATCCTCTCCCTTTTGATTTCATTTTTATTTTTTATTTTTCAATTTACTTTATTTATTTATTTTTTTCATAGGAAGTGCATTTTTTTCCTGAGAGTGGGAGTTGATGTTTGCTCTCACCAATGATTTATGCAACCAGTACCAATGTTTAGTGGAAGGGGTGTGCAGAGGCTCAAACAAACTATTTATGATACTGGCTGGCCTATGTGAAAGAACCTAATTATTGTGTGTTAATCTGGTGCAATAGTGTGACTCATCTATAGCTGCTGGTGCCCCCTTTCTAGGGGAATGTGTGCTGTGCAGGTGGTGTCTTGTGCAGATGCCTGCAAGAGGTGAACAATAAAACCATTTATCCCAGGAACTGTAGTGTGCACTGCCCCCTTCCTACCAAACTCTTCATTAGTGTGCACCAACCTGGCAACCAACATAACTATTCAAGAGATCTGTAAACGTGCACCCATCCTGGCCATCACCGCCACCACCTTCCTGAATATTCATTAAAATTAACAATGCCATCAATTTGAGAACCCATATTAGGCACCTGCTTTGTAACCACTATATTCCATAACCAGGATATTCATCAGTCAGACTTAATTCCACTCCCCCTCCTCCCCCGAAGTTGTGCCTCACCCTGTTGCTACCATCATTATGGGATTAAATATGTGTAAATTGTGTAGATAATTAATATCATCATCACAGAGACTTCTAGAGACAGCAACTACTTCAGTACTGCCAATATTCTGGTCACCATCACAGCCACAGCGTTTATGGGATTGGTGTTGTACACTCCACTTTCTGCGTCCAATGGAGTAGGAAGATCACACCCATTTAACCACTGTGCCCGTTTGTCACTGTTTTGCCACCGAGTTACAAATCCACACCGTGTGCGCTCACTTACGGATTGCAATTCCTAGAATTTATATTGAATAACTTAGCAATCTTCCATAAGCCTGCAGTTTATAACTGTTCTGGGTTGCAGAAGCATAGAGCAGTGTTGAGACTTGTCACCTGTATTTACCATATGTTAGGTTGTTTTAATGGACTGTATTAGGTAACTTTCCCAAGGGACTGTTGATGTGCAGTGAACAAGCACCACCACCCAGGATAAACAAGTGCACAAGTTACTTCCTGCAGATAGGCTAGAGAAGTGCACTCAGACCAGCTGGATCCTACAGGAACCTGGTGGTGTTCACCTGCCCCTTCCATGTTCTTGATGGGCATCAAGGCACCTGCACAAATCAGCCAATCTATTTTCAGTAAAGCTTGTATACAATGTACAGTCAAACCTTGATGTGTAATATTATTAATTATAAGCTAGAGATGTGATGAGATTGTTGGAAAAAATTTGTTACACAACTGATGAGATGGTGTGGACACTTTGTATGTATGTCACACAAGATGTAGACTAGCCTTTGCCACATGCTTTACTTCTGCCTTGTATGTTTGTAAATTTAACTGTACATGTACATACACCTGAAGCAGAGTAGGGTGTGAGTGTGGCAGCCTGCTCAGGGTCCAGATCATGCCGGATCTAAACCTTTGAATAGTTTCATTTAATATTATTATGGATTGCATTTTTTTCAGCTAAGCCGCAATGTGATTTGTTTGAAATGCCTTTATGCTGGTTATATCATTTATCAAAAAAGTAGGAGTGATGAAAATAACAAGTTGCTTAATAGGAAGACTCTGCCGTAGCTTCCTCTGGAGTCTCATCACTGCGTTGTTCAAGCAGATCATAATATGCAACCATTTCCAGCAGACCATAAGGGGAATGGGGTGAAGTTTGAATAATCTCTTTGGGTGTCTTACAGTGCTGAAGGTGGTGGTGGAATAAATATCAGGCTGTCTAGTGTATAAGTGTTGATGAAATTTGTTTCCTAGCAAATTGGCAAATTGCTTTTAGGTGACCAATGCATAGAAAGAACACATATCATGGAACATGAAGTGGTCTTGAGTGGATAAACTATACCTTTGTAGCTGGTGTCTAAAAGAAAATAATAATGTGCAGTGGGTTGAGTGACAAGAGAAAACTAGATAGCAGCAGCAGCAACTCAGCTCTGCAAAGACATTTCAGATACTGCAGGAAGTGGCTGATGGAAAGATGGAGGTTCATGGAAGGACAGAGATGGACTCTAGTAGGCTGCTGCCTCGGCTTCACAATGGCATTCTCTGGGTTGCATCTTTCACTTGTGGAGATGTGATATTTTAATACTGCTTTTTCTGTATGGAACTTGTTCTATTATTTCTATTCCTGTAGACTAGATAGTGCCAACATGATGCAATAGCATTATGCAGCTAGGGTCTCACACAGCCACTGGTGAGCACCAGCTTGGAGACGTGGCGGTGTTGATGTGCCTCTAGGCTGTGTCCTTCCCCCGGGCCCAGTACTGCCTGTTGTGAGCCACATGGCCGTCGCCTCGTCACTCAGAGAAGCAGCAGCAACATCGCCTCACCGTTTTTAACTCCAATCAGTCTGGGATGTTAAAATTAAGTAATAATACCATTATTGTAATCTTCATAACTTTCTGTTCACATAATGTAAAGCAAGACAATAAAGAACTTAAAAGTTTGTCTCATGCATGTTATGTCCTTGGTAGTTACTTCCAACTTTGCCAATATTCTCATGGGCTAAGAATTATCAGAATACATGGTGACATTATAAGGATTTTTTTGTTCATATTACTTTTATAGAGCATAGTTATGTCTGGTTAATGTCATGTGATAGTCCCTAATATAGCTGAAAGTTGAGGAGCTGCAAGTAGTGGTCAGACAAAGCCAGAATTAGCATGGAACACAATAATATCTGGTATGTTGTGAAAACCTGTTTTCCATTATGGTACTGATTCATTTTTATTATTTATGTTTACATATTTATTTATTTATTATTTCATTTACAAATTCTTTAACATAATTGTCGCATATTTTTATATCTTGCTGTTGCTCCTATATATATATATATTGTTCAACGTAAGGTTTATCTCTAAGGAAGGTTAGCAATTGTCTATCTGCTCACTTTTAATTTCATAAGAGCTTTAGAGTAATTCTCTGACTGATGTTACTTGGTACAATTATTTTTGTACACCTTAGATTTATATTTTAGTCCATTATGGAAGTCTACCCTATGAAGGAAGTAGTGATTCCTTTTTTCCATCACCAGACTATTGGACTTCATGTCATCTCCCAAAGACACCAACTCACTTTTGCAATAGGTCAGTGAAATTGTGGTCATCTTCATAATGATAATTTCTATCAAAAAACTTTAGTGAGGGTTTGAATCAGCCACACATTCATCATGATGTCATAACCTACAGCAACCATATGCATTAGCCTCATGAAGTAATCTGGTATCAGAAAAGTAACTCCTTGGTACCTTCTGTTGTCACTTGATGTTGGGGAGTAATGTTTAAACACTCCACTATCAGGTAGCAGAGCACAGCAGAGCATGTCTTGCAAGCATACTTCGGATTCCAGCAGCTGCAAATAGGTAATTGTGTAAAAGCCACAAGCCAGTCCAGCCATATATACAACACTTGTTCAGGACTTCTCTAGCCATTTACAAGGATTCATGTACTTTTCCAGAAAATAGCATTGTGAAAAGTAATTTAGCCAAAAATAAATTAATAAATATACAGTACTTAACTATGGATCATCATTTTGCATGGTACTCTTTCCATGCAAAGGAAGAGCCTTACAAAAATAGAAAAAAAAGGTTTATTACATCCTTTCAATAAAACCAAAACATCAACTGTAGCATTCTGAGCTGCGTAGAGGATAATTCCCAGAGTGCCTCATGATGTGCTATGTATATTTGTTAAAATTTGATTAGAAGCATTAATTTTGCAAAACTTCCATGTGTGATCTGTCCCCAAACTATGGGTCGTAAGGTATATCAACTTCAAGATTAGCAATTTTCATTTCAGTAAAAAAAACAATAAGAGTATTTCCCACTATGGGCATAATGTAATGAATTCATATATGACTAAAATGGAAACCTAGTGTAAAATAATGTAACACATTGGTAATTTTTCTTGCCAACCTCCTCTTATAATTTTCGATTTAACATATAACTTTTGAACAGCATTTTAAACTTTAAAATATTAATAAAAATTGTATGTGCAGACTTAATATATAGCAGTTTTGCCTTTAAACACTTTTTATTTTATAAAATTTATGCTCATATTTATGTTAAATAGCAGTAAGTGCATGATATAGCCAATATAAACCTCATGATTTGTAGGGAAATTTGCATCTTTAAACATTTTCTTTGATTCTTCTCTGTAATTTCCTGGAGATAAGGGTACAGAACAGAAATTGGACCTACCTACCTATGATTTGTTTGCCTTTTGATGTTTATTTATTATACCTATAAATACACTAAATCTGTTCAAACCCAAGATGGACTAACCAGACATTGTGATTATCAGTTTTCAAAAAAAAAAAAAAAGGAAATATATCCTGTAATGCTAGTGTCTTTTCTTTTTAGGTGTAAAATAAGTGCATAGGCTTCCTCTACCACATTTCATCCATCCCTTCCTCATTTTGCCTCAGAATGATACCCTTTGCCAGAAGTAGTTTTATTGATAATCACAATAAGAGTATTTCCCACTATGGGCATAATGTAATGAATTCATATATGACTAAAATGGAAACCTAGTGTAAAATAATGTAACACATTGGTAATTTTTCTTGCCAACCTCCTCTTATAATTTTCGATTTAACATATAACTTTTGAACAGCATTTTAAACTTTAAAATATTAATAAAAATTGTATGTGCAGACTTAATATATAGCAGTTTTGCCTTTAAACACTTTTTATTTTATAAAATTTATGCTCATATTTATGTTAAATAGCAGTAAGTGCATGATATAGCCAATATAAACCTCATGATTTGTAGGGAAATTTGCATCTTTAAACATTTTCTTTGATTCTTCTCTGTAATTTCCTGGAGATAAGGGTACAGAACAGAAATTGGACCTACCTACCTATGATTTGTTTGCCTTTTGATGTTTATTTATTATACCTATAAATACACTAAAACTGTTCAAACCCAAGATGGACTAACCAGACATTGTGATTATCAGTTTTCTGGCAAAGATTTAAAGAAGCAATATAATGAAATTAACCTAATTGTGCTCATTTGACTTTGGTTGAACATATGGTTCATTAAAATAAAATATTTAAATATTGTAATAATTTGTCTTGTGCTGATATTGAGAGTATGCAGTGCTCCTTCCAGAAGTACTAGAGCGCATTATATGCTTGTAATGTATCCCCAGTGCCCTATTGTAATGACAGTTTTAAACCAAATACAAACAAAAGAATTTTAACTGAATTATCTTTTCCTTCTTGTTACTAATTTCTTCCATTCGAAATATTTGCTTTCACTCTTGTCACATTTTCACTTCTACTTTTGTGAAACATTAAGGGTGAAGAAACTTAACATGGCCATGGTGTTGCACTACATCCCATTCTTTCTGTAGAAGTTAAAAATGGTGTGAATTGAAAAAAAAAGGAAAAAAAATATATATATATAATAATTTACAATTAAATCAAATATATTGATATTTTCTGGTAGATCAAAACTTGTTTTTTCTGTGGAATTAATGTATAATGTTAAGTAAAGCTGACTGCTGAACATTTTTATTGTAAGAAATCTTCTTGTTCTATTTATATAGCAAAACATTTCATGGACACAATGATAAATGTTACTTACACTACTGTAACCATATACAAATATTTTCTATTACTTTTCTTGAGCTAGACAACAGTTAATTGAAACGGGAGGACTAAATATTTACAGAATTTCCAACAAAACTCTTTTCCTTCAGAAGGCTGATGACATTAATTCCGTAACCTGTTATATGATGTTCTGTTGGATAACCATGATAGAAGTTGTAGTGAGTTACCCTTTGACTTTGCTTCTACTTTTACTAGTACAATTTGTTTTTTGTGTTTAAAAATATCTGTATATATATTTATATAGGTAATCAATGTAAATATGTTAGCATGTCTATACACAAATGTATATGTAGTATGCATATAAGTGTACAAACTTCTAATAATAGTAAGATCATTTGTATCGAACTATTCTCATTTCCAGATCATATGATTGTGTAGATATATGATAATACTAAACTATTAGTCTTACTGCCTGTGTCAAACATCTATATAACCTTGTAAAAAGCATCAGAGCAAACATTAGAATTGTAGTCTTACTATAAGGAGCTAATACTTGGTTCATTTTGGTATGAAGGAATTAATGGACGAGAGTGAATTGAGTAATACACTTTGCATGCATTTCCCTGTACACTGTAAATAAAAGTCAACTGGATAAAGCTAGCTTATGACCCACCAAATTTTGCAATGTAAGGATTCCAACTTATTTTATCTATATTATCATGTTCCAATAATGAAGAATTGCAGCTACACTAAATGTACTATTAAATTCAACTTGATTTATTTTTTATCCATTTGTGGTCAATGGATGCTGCTGATGAGTCACTGTAATTCTGTTCTATCCAATAGCCTGAAAAAATATCTAGAGGGAGCAAAAGGCAGATCTGTCTATAACCTGAAAATTATCCATACCTGAGGTTATTCAAGGAAAATGAAAAAATCAGTATTAAAGAATAAAGTAATTGTTTGCTTTCATACACTTAATGAAGAACAAAAATATTTGTTTGCTTTCATACATCTTATTTTTGGTTACAGTATGTGAGTAAACCTCTGATGATTGCACATTCAGTAATTTGTCCTATGCAGTTATATATTATTTATGTTTAATTTCAAATCTTACATTTTGTTAATAATTTATTTCAGTTTATCCTTTTTATAAGGCCATATCACAGGAAATAAATAGTTTACATTAAAAATATATTTGTATAAATAAATATTTGTGCATCAAGCAACAGTTTAATGTGCAATATTGTTTTTGCTTTACTATAAAATAACTTTTCAGCTGGTAAAATATAATTTGTATGCCAGAGTTACTACAACAGTTGCTTTACATGCACCTGGGGATAAAAACCCATTTGTGTAAGGTATTAGTTCAGTTCTCCTGGGGCCTTCAACCTATCAACAAGTATGTTCATCATGAGGTCTTTGCAAAATAGAAATGAAAACTGCCATGTTAGGTATGTCTGACTTCTTTCTCTGAATCATTCTGGAGATAAAATACTTCATAAAAGTTTTTCTTTACAAGTGAGTAATTACATGTCTATCTGGTACTATTGCTTTGCATCAAAAACTCCCATGATAAAATATAATGACCAAGATATGGAAATGAACACTGAAATTGAAAATTTTCAGAACATTCCCTATGGGCAAACCTTTGATTAAAAACTAGCATGATAAACCTTGACAACATACTCTTATTCCTTTCTATCTAAAAAATGAATCCAATTTCTGAATTTTGCTTGATTTACTTAAACCCTCCCCTTTACTTGGTCTCCCTCTCTTTTTGCCTCTTAAGTTCCTGCTGAGGTCTCTATTGATCCTTGGTGTTGAGCTCTCAGCATCTTGTCTCATTTCCTGCCTCATATCCGTTTGAAGTTTCAGAGCTACATGAAAATCAAGGTGTTCGGGCATGTCAAATGCCGATATTTGAGCACCACACTCTGCACACTCCATTGTGTCATCACTATTTTGAACACTTCCAACAGACTTTGTACTTTCCTGTACAACAGTTTTAGGACTTTCATGACAATTCATGAGCACCCTTGAGGCCTTTTGGATGCCTCCATTCACATATGTCATACAAGTACTTGATTGTGGAGATCCTTCTTGAATGACACTCCTGTTATTCTGTGGTGTGACAGATGTACTTGTAGCTTGCTTGTCAGGAGATGATGTGCTTTTGGATGGGCTGCTTGTGACATATTTCCATAAGCCTGTCTTTTTTGGCTTAACTTCTGCTCTTACCTTATGAGCTGCAAGAGCTTTTTCTACTTCAGTTCTCAAGTCACTTGGCAACATGGGCAACAAGGATTCATCAAAATTATCTAGATCTGGGAAGAGTTCATGAACTGACACTTTTGACCCGCTGTTTGTTTCAAAATTTTGATTGCGACCAATCCGTGCTTCTTCTCCCTGAAGTACATCTAGAGTCCTTTCTGCTTCATAATTATCTAAAGGATCAATGTTTGCTTCATCAATTTCAACATGTAACTGCATATTTCCTTTTTCCTCATTACTGACATCATAATCCATAAAAAGATCTTGACTAGCATCATTCTGAGTTGCAAAACTTGAATCGATATCAGTCGAAGCTTGATATATAGAGTCGTCATCACTATTACTATCAATTTCACTATTATTATCCTGGCCATTATCTGCTTCCTCACCATTTTCATTTTCTTCTAATTGACTTACTAAAAGGTCAAGATCTGCATTTTCACTTTCTTCAGCAGATTCATCTACCTGAATACTGTCTGCACCAGGGACTGAATTTGCCAAAGTCTCTTTTTCCTCACTCACATCTGCCGACTTCATCTGTTGTCTTCGCAAGAGAAAGTTCCTGAAAAATGAATTACTAGAACCTGCACCTGCATCCTGTGGCTTTTTGGGATTGTGTTCAAGGTTATCTTTAGGAATTAATTTTGTTTTAGCCAAGATATTTTCCTTCACTAGTGGACTAGCCTCATGAACTAAATTACTTTCCATGGAGAAGTCATGGGAAGAACACTGTGTTCTTTTATTCTCTATACTAATTAAACTTTCATCCATTGACCAGTCTGCCACAAGTGATGATGGCACTGTGGAAGTTATACTTGATTTTGCAGCTCTCTTGAACATTTCTTGGATATTGCCTGAACTAGCTCCAGCCCAGTCCTCAAACTTTCCTGCTGAGAGACTTATATTCTTGATGGCTGGTGACCTGAAACAACAAACCTTCACTTAGTTATGGAAGACAGTTTAGGCTACTTATGGAACCGAAAACATTTTGAAGTAAAGAGAATAATTTCTAGTAGAAAACAATCACTCTTAAAAGTACAATTTCTGTATCTCTACAAAAAAAGAACAACCTAAACAGTCTGGCAGCTAATAACAAGACTATGACATGTAATTTTGGACAGAATATAAAGTTTAACATAGGTGATCCAAAATATAGTGGTGACTGAATCAATCAAAGAAAGAGTTTAGTCAATCCTTGGCATCACCTATGGATGCTTTGAGTACATTATCAAGGTGTTCGGGCATATCCACTTTGGTTTTCTATTTTGTCTATGCATAAATGGGTTCATAAGTGCTTAATCAGGCCTACCTCATCTTACCTATTTACATTACTTGAAGTTTTTACTTTTACTACTATTATCATATAATGATCATGGTGATGATGATAGAAAAAATAAAATAAATAAATAGTAACAACATTAACAACAATAATTGTAATAATAATAAGACTGAAAACAATAATAATAATAACAATTCTTACAAAAACAATAATAACAGCAATACAAATTAAAACATTTATTTACAGAAAATTCAAAGAATGGGATTACCATAGGTACCAGAGGCTTTGGTTACTGACTCCACGATGACTAGGCAGTTCCTTACAATAAAAACATAACTGATTAAGCTATTCATAATACCAACAGCAGGGACTGGCAGAAAATAAGAATAAATATTAATTTCGATGACTTTTATCAGGCATGAATCCCTTCCTTACTATCTTATCTTCATTTATCCTTAACACCAAGTGATCAGTTCGAGTGACCTGGACCTGCCATTGCAATCAGCCAGAAAAATGTCAGTGGTGTTAGAGAAGGTAAAATAGACTATAATATTTCAAAGCAAGAGATGACACAATATATACAAATCTGATAGATTTCCTTAAGAATAGACAGTGGTTTAGAGAGTTGTGTTTTGTCCTTAAAAAAAAAATAATAATAATAAAAATAAAAAATAAATAAATAAATAAAAACAAATAAAAAATAAACACACACACACACACACACAATATCCTCAATATTTATACACATATACTATGCAATGGTGAGATAGATCTAGATACACTTATATGCATGTGGGTGCACAGAAACACACCCACACTCATACTCACACACACAAACACAAACATTAGCACATAAACACACACAAACACATACACACACAAATATACTCAAAGCCCACACTGATCCCTTTATCAGTAGACTAGACCTACATGGAATCAGAAGATATCAGTTTGATAGCTTTGATAATTAAGCAAAGCTAAGGTCCAAGGACCATGACTTGGGTGGTTGTGATGCTAAATTAATTGCATAACATTTTCTTGAATATCTCAAAAAGAGATAAGCTAAGGAGCAAACATGTATTTCGCATAAATATTTCTAACCATGTGCATGTCCCTGTACCATCATACAAAGCAGAAAGCATGCTACAACACTGTAAAATGGCTGATAAGTTTCTGTGGTATAACTACTATAGTATATACACACTACAGGAGCAGACAAGTTGGTAAAACAAAAATACTTTATATGTACCCTGCACCAACAGATTAAGTCTCCTCCCATATAAGATGGTACTAACATAAGAAGTGTATACAAGTTATATTTAAACACAGAAACCTGGTATAAAATACCATGTTTAGTGCAAAGAAACAATAAAGATGGAAAAAAAATAACTAAAAATTACTTAACCTGTTTCAAATAATATATTATGTTACTAACCACACTGAATCCTTTGGTGGTGCTTCATTGGTGTGCTGAATGAGTGAGATGGCTACTTGGGTTATGCGCTCTGCACTGTACGACGGAAGACTACAGGATCTCGAGAGGGAAGTCCATCGTTCATCTCCATCTAATCTCACACTCACTGTAATTGTCTTTGCTCTTCTTTTATTCTGCAGTTCGACAGAAATATGTGAAATGAGTAAGGTATTCAATAATCACACTCTCCTAAATACTTTGTATTAAGATATAAATAAACGATCAAGATTTCCCATCTTCCCTTGATAATAATTTTCAGAAAAGTTTGGAAACTACTATTCTGTATTCTAGTTGCTGTAAGTGCCATGGTAATGGCACTTACAGCTATCATCCTAACTCATACAATTTCCAATCATGATCAACTTACTGCTGTTTGATCCATCATTAACCTCTCTGACAATTCATCAGCAAGGCTGCGCATCCACTTTTGCACCTAGGAGAAATAATGATAGAAACTTTCTTAGTACATGAACAAATAGGGAAATCATATTGCAATGCTATAACTCATTATTTTAAGCATGAATAGAAGCTGAAGGAGGTAAGACAAGACAGTAGAAGGGTGGGGGAAGGAGAAAGGGAAAGAGAGTGAGAGAGAGGGGGGGGGACCAAGGGAAGGAGGGAGACAGAAAAAGAAAGAGAAAAGGACAGAAAAATGGAAAGGAAAAGAGAGAGACAGGCGACAGGCAACAGGCAAAGAAAAAAGAGATAGAACATATCACAACAGAACAGAGAGACAGCAAAAAAGCCAGATATAGCCATGACAGCCACACTATACTCAGGATTTTTTTTACCATCAAGGCAAAACTCCACTTTCTATTTCAAATGATTATCATCATCATCCTTTCAATGACCTAATGATTATTATCACTAACCTGTCGAGCTGTCATTATTATTAAGAATACACATAACATTTCTTCATATTCTACTATCCACCTCCACTACCAAGGAATCCACTTCACAATAATACCTGTTCATTTTGCTCTTGCTTCTCTTTATACAAAATGAAATAGCCTACTATGGTCATGATTCATTTGATTTGTATGCACACATTATGCCATTGTATTTTTTCTTCTTTGCATATAAGATCTACTAATCATTGAGGAAGGAAGTGTAGAAATATGAGCCTTTATGGACAGCAATATTAAAGTAAATGGATAGTAACTTAGTGATGCCAGAAGGGCATGTGTACATGGACAAACCAATTCAGGTTTGTTTTTATTATTTTAATACATAGATGATTCCAGAAGTCCTTATTTACCAAGGAGTCAATTAGCCTACATGACCTCATCTGTTACCCTATTTTTCAATTTTTTGAAAGAAAAGTCTTTATACTAAAATTAATGTTAATAATGTTCAATTGAGGACAATGTAACAATAATAATGATATTAAAAAGGATAATAATAGAAGAAGAAAAAATACTAGAAAATTCAAGGAATGGGATAAACATTGATCTGGTAGGCTTAGTAGTAGACTCTTAGTGAAAAAGTGCTTGTGAAACCATCAATGGACACTAAACACACCCACTGTAAATGGATTAAGCCCCTCACAATAAGTGGCATCTATAAATATTATAGTAAGGACTGGCTACAATTATTGGTAGCATCTATACATGCCATGACAATAGAGGCTCCTTTCTGTACTGCATATTATAGAGGTGTAGAGTTTAATGGCCCTGATTATGCAATCAAGTAAAAGCCTTCAAGTCACCATAAACACTATAATCAGTTTGTCTATAATCAAAGAAAAGATGATAGATACATAGTCCCCACACTTCTCATTTTAGTTTCATGTGTGCAACCTTGATATTGGATGATTCACAAGAAGAGACAGTATAATTAGGTCTGACTTGGCCTTTAGGGCTGTGAAGAATGGAAGACTGAGCCTCAGAGGAGCTCCCTCAGCCTCTGCCAAGAGGCTGGCCTGAAGTTGTGAGCTGGTTGAGTAGGTTGGATCATTTTTGCAACTTTTAAAACTAGGAATGAGCAAGATTTTGTAGTTTACAAATAAAAACACTAGAAGTCAACAGTCTCACATATTCCATACTGTGTATACATACTAGTAAGAGGTGGTGCTAGTCCAGAGTGACTACCTGAATCTAAACCTCAGGCAGGCCATCAAAGTGGGAGCTTGGAATGTCCACTCTTTGTGACAGTATGATTGGTGCCACTGCTGTCAGGGAAACTGAAGTAGCTGAGAGTTGGGGTGGCTGCTCTCTCAGAGGTGAGAAGACCTGGTAGTGGCACAGAGTGGGTGGCTACACCTATCACTACTCGGGCTGAATTGATGGTCCCCATCTTCAGGGAGGAGCCATAGCATTTCCAGCAGACTTGAGCCCTTGGTAGTAGAGGCCACTCCAGTTAATGAGCATATAATGGTATTGAGACTAGAGTTGCATTAGGCTTCATGTCCTTTATTGCTGTGTATACTTCTACTGATGTTTGTAAACTTGACGTAAAAGAGATGTTTTATGCCAAACTTGCATCTGTGACAGACAGCTGTCCTAGACAAGATATTTGCATTGCTCTGGGTGACTTCAATGTGATATCTGGCTGTGATTGATCTAGCTATGATGTGTCTGCCTTCTCTGGTCATTTCACAGCACTGCTGAGATGGGACAAAGAACAGTTTATCGGGAATCTTGCAGAGGAGGTCGAAGGCCATTTCTTAGTAAATGATCTTCATTCTGTCTACCAAGCCCTGAGAAATCTGAATTCCTTACATGTGACTGCAGTCAGATTGTCCTAGATCCTGTTGGGGTGCAGGTACATTGGGCTGAGTATTTTCAGCAGTTGTTCCAGGTTCATCCACCTTTGCCATCCCACCCATCAACAAAGAACCAACCTCCTGAACTGAAGTTGAGGGGCAATCTCCAAGCTGAAGAGTAGTAAAGTAGCAAGTATCTGTAGCATTCCAGCTGAAGTGTTGAAGGCTGGTGGTGAACCTATGGCGAGAGGTTTGCATCTGCCATCTGGCAGATTGGTATCATTCTCCCTGACCTGTTGAGAGGTGTCGTCATCCCTCTCTGGAAGGGGAAAGGGGATTGATGGGACTGCAGCAATCCCTAAGGCCTTATGTTGCTCAGTATACCAGGTAAGGTTCTCATTCACATCCTTCTGAGATGTATCAGTGACCACCTACTGAGGCACCAGAGGCAGGAGCAATCTGGATTCATTCCTGGTAAGTCCACAATAGACCATATCCTGGAGCTTTCAATTATTGTAAAGTGCTGTTGTGAGTTCGAGTGTGGGCTGTTTGCAGCTTATATCAACCTCAAAAAGGCATTTGATACAGTGCATCATGAATCCCTCAGGGAGATCCTGAGGCAAGAGGATTACTGGATTAATAGCTAACCTGTATACTGGTACTTAAAGTGCTGTTAAGTGTGGTGGGGGCCTGTCAAGCTTCTACCCTATTAGTTCATGAATAAGGCAAGGCTGTATTCTTACAACAACACTTTTCAGCACTTGCATGGACTGGATAATGAGCAGAGCTACTGTCCAAGTCAATGTGGAGCAATTCTGAGCAATATCAAAGTTACTGATCTTGACTTTGCGGATGATGTTGCTATTCTATCTGAGTCTCTAGAAACCCTATTGGTGGCTCTAAATGCATTTAGCAATGAAGTGAAGCACCTGTGTCTAGAGGTCTCCTGGACCAAGACCAAGATCCAGGACTTTGGGGGCATGCTAGGAGAACCTGTTCAATCAGTACATGCTTGAAAGCTGGCCATTGAAGTCACATAGAGCTTAACATATCCTGATAGTGTTGTTCATGACTCTGTGCTGTCAGACCAGGAAGTCAGTGGACCAATTGGCTTGGCAGCAGGAGTCATGAACTCTCTTGACAAGAGTATTTGGAGATGCTGGTACCTGTGCAGAAGGACTAAGCTATGTGTCTGTAAGGCCCTGATACTGCCAGTTTTACTATAAGGTTGAGAAGCCCAGACGCTGTCCTGCACCTTGGGAATCTTGTCTTGATGCCTTTTGTAACAGGTCCTTGCGCCAGATCATGGGGAACAGTTGGCGGGACCAAGTGTTCAACCAACAGTTACACCATTAGACTGGTTCAGGATCTTTTACTTGTAGAATACGTGACAGCTACCTCAGCCTATATGGGCACCTGGCTTGATTCCCACAGGATGATCCTGCTGACCAAGTTCTCTCTGTCTGAGACAACCCTGGGTGGAGGAGGCCTGTGGGCTAACTTAGGAAGTTATGGCTTGGGCAGATTGATCAAACCTGTCATGAAGAGCTAAAGATGAGCCAAACCCCAGCCTGGCAGCTTGTCATGAGGACTCGCATAGGTGGAAATTAAAGGTGGATGCAGCTATGTGCCCCATTGGTATTAGTTCCCCTTTTAATATATTCCCTAATAAACAAGTTTTGGCACTGATGAAAATAATGCATTTAACCTAAAATACCTTGCCAATAGCACCAATAAAACTTACAAGGGAATCTCATCAGATGAGAGTGGAAACAGTGCAATGGTCACCGTAACACAAGAATCTCACTGCTTGTGATTTGGATGATACGTGGACTAAACACTTACAGTCTGGTACATTAACCAAAGTAATGTGTTCCTCATAAAGTACCTTGTTGCTTCTACTTGTTCCATCTTTCTTTCCATTAATGTACAAAACAAGTATTACAATAATATATATTCCATTGGCAATCAGTATCATTTCCAATGCTTTTCTTTCATTTATGAATTTCTCTCTCCCTCTCCCTCTCTCTCTCTCCCTCTCTCCCTCCCTCTCTCCCTCTCCCCCTCTCTCTGTGTTTGTGTGTGTGGGGGTATGCATGTGTGCATTCATGTGTATGTGAGATTCTTACTCCGATAACATATAAACTAAAAACCATGCTTGCAGTCATGCTTGAATATGTCCAAAATACATGGCTGGAAAATACCATGTGGACATGTTCAAAATAGCATCAAGCATAGTCCCTAACCCAGAATCCTCCTAGACGTCATTGGAAGCAATAGAGTACCAAGGGCAAGGACAAAGGATGATATCATGGAAGTACTGAGGTGGAGGATATCCAAGAGTTCAGCACACATGGTGTTGCCAGTAACACACTGGCAAGCCTTTTGCCCTACCAAAATATTTCCAAATAGTGCCAGGGATATGCTAGTCCCACATACTTTTTTAAAAACTTTTAATAAACTATGCTGAATTTCCCTGATCACCTGGTAGCTTCAAGCTTCACAACAAGATCCTCTCCTTTCACTTGTAAACTTTTTAAAATAACAGCTCTTGCTCTTAGATGCTCTTCACAAGGCTATGTTTTTTACACGCACTGCAGATCTCTGGGTTTCTCTATTTTTTTCTGCTGGAGTTAGTCAGTGGGTCACATGAAACATTTTTGTCTCATTAAATAAAACATCACTGAAATATTTCCTGCAAGGTTATGACACTGGCATAAAACTAGGTAACCTCTGTACAGGGGTGCCCTGATGGAGGCTGTAATTGTGATTTCCCATTTACCCTGTGAATATCATTTGCTACAATATAGTGTTTCCCACCACTGTCTGTTTTTATTACACCCACTGCAACAAGGCTGTAAGCAGCAATATAGATACCAGATTTGGCTGACAGTAACTAAGGTCTCATTCCCAATGGCAATGAGGTGGTGCAAATGGGTTCTTTATCACTCTATAAGGTTTGATTTCATTATTATTGACCAAAGAAAAATAGTGATAGCAGGAATGAGGGGTGGTGATGAGAATATAGTCAAGTGGCTTAGCATATGATATCAATAGCCCATCAATGATAATTATAAAGGATAATAATAATGATTTGACATGGAAAAGTCCATAACATACGAGGTAATAATGGGTAACCAGCATAAATAAATATAGTATAAATAAACAAATAATATGGATAAAGTGCATGAGAGAGATCTGAAGAATAAGAAATAGGTCCTAAGGGTTGGTGGACCACATATAACAACACACATTACCTTCTCTTGTGTATTTAGTGCCTCTTTTCCGTGGAAATTTTTGCCACAGCCAATACTTTTAGGCAACTGGCGGGAAGTTACTAGTTCTGTGTCCACTCCTTTACCAAGGTTGAACAACCAATGTCTGAAAGAAGAAAAAAAAGAAAGAAAAATAAAAGTGACTTACATTCTTTCTGGACCAACTTTTGAGGAATTCAGAGGCTGTATTTCTGTCCACTTAACCCATTCACGCCGGGTAAAAATGAACAAAAAATGGGGAAAATGCTGTGCTCATTTTTTATATTTTTTAATGAAATGTTTCTACACTAGATGGCTCTGCCTTACCTAATTTTATTTGGTGGGAAAATGTATCTTTATTAGTGCTATGAATATCGATGGTTATTTTTATTATAAACATTATAATTACGATAATGTTATAAACATTAGTAACAGCAAAATAAGATAACGTAAGATATTTTCGTAAATTAAAGAAAAGGGTAAACAGACGACACAGGCAGTACAAGTACAAGTGTAGCCATCTATGTGTGAAAACAATTAAACAAGTAAACTCGCAGTGGGTCCGTCACATATACGTGACACCCGGCGTGAATGGGTTAACTATCTTTGCACAATAAATCTGCAATTAATAAATCCTTGAATTTATCTCTGGATCCATCCTTCCCAGTAACAACAGAATAACAATTTATTTTTTTGACAGTTAGGGTTCAGACTTAACAGGAACAATAATTTTTCTTCAAAACCTGTCTACTTGAGTAAGTTGAGTGTATAATTGATAAGGAATGATATACTTAAACTATTTTCTCAGTGGTACATGTTAACAATATACAAACTATCTGCATGACAATAATAGTGACTGATGATCTCATTTCTATTGCAGTGCAATATTATTTAGCAATAACAACTTTCTCCTTTAACCCAGAACTGATGGGCATGGCATGTATGTACATGCCATGACCACTTTGAGTTTACTTTATTAATTGTTTTTATACAGATCGCTCCACTTGTACTGTCACTAATGAGCCAATTATGAGTACAACTTGCCTCACCTGTTTACCCTTTTCCTTGATTTTCAAAAAAAAAAAAAAAAAAAAAAAAAAAAAAAAAAAAAAAAAAAAAAAAAAAAAAATCTGTTATCTAATATTGAAAATGAAAACAGCCACAGCAAGAAAAGAATATTCTTAACTTACTGTGGCTGTTTTCCTTTTCATCTTTGTGTACATGTGACTGTGTTTGTGTTTGTATTATCTAATATTGCCACTACTAATATCAATAACATTATAGTAAATTTAATGTTTATAATCAAAATAATACCACTGGAAAGAAAGAAAAAAAGAAAGAAAGAAAGAAAGAAAGAGAGAGAGAGAGAAAAAAAAATCTACAAATTCAAGGAACGGTGAAATCAAGTAAGGTCTCATGGTCTACTAATTGACTCCTTTGTGGCTAAGCACTAACAGAGCCATCTAAACATTTCACAAAAAAAAAATTCTAAAATGAGCACAGCCTTTTCCTGGCTAAATGGATTGATTATTACAGATTTGCTTCTTTTTTGTACTGCTTATTAATGCAGCTAATTTTTTATGTTAAGGTTTTGGGATTTCCCTGATGGAGGAACCCCTTTGAAAATTTTACTTTCCTTGTACTTGAAAAACAAGTATAAATTTTATTGAAATGCTAAGAAAATACTGTTTGATTTTTGTAAACATTTACTTTACTTTCCTCTGTTAAATATAAGTAAAAAATTATGAATGAATAAATATTCGCCAAAATCTATTTACCACTGAATGGGAGTGAAAAGAGCAATTTTGTGTGTAATTTCACGGAGTATTTATGAGAAATTCCTCTATCAATTTATACATAAACTGTTCAATGACAGAAATATGAATACAATATATAATTCATTCTAAAGTATGACTGAATCTTCAACCAAATATGAAATACATAACTTGGAATATTGTCTCTCTCTTTCCTTCTCTCACAGATACACACACACATACGCAAATACTTTGTCACACAAAGAAATAATTCCAGGAAATACAATGTTATCCTTCTTACGCTGTTTTATTATCGTATCTGCCGATTAGTTGCTGGAGAGACAACTTTGCCAGGTCGCCCATTGTGTTGCAGCCCATCTCCTCAGTGAGTGAGTCGCCAAGCTTTCCTCCGAGGTGACGTACTTTTCCTACGGGCAAACCATCCCAAAGTTGGCTAACTTCATCCTGCGGTAGGACAGTCTGCTGGTTTGGCTTGTGAAGACCACATGCCAATTTGCTAAGCATCTAAAAGGATATAAATGAGGAATAATTAGGAATTGTTTTAGAAATCTGCATATTGTATCTGGGTAACATGGATATCTTGTCATAAAGAAAAATAAATTACAGTGTGTAAACTAACTGGAGAGATAATATGGAAGCTACTTGACATAAAGATTAGTTTGATGAAAAAGGCAAAATAGCAAATATTCATCTGGCCTGCAAGCTAACCATTCAGGAGATTTGATAATAAAGGAAGTCTAATGCCTGGATTTAGGTGTACATGCTTGCAAGCAAGATAGCCAGAGAGATTGGGTTAATATTCATTTGAATAATAAAAATGGTTTGTAGGTGTACAATAAAAATGTATACCCACTTAAATCCCTTGTTATCACTGAATGATCACCTGATTCTTAGTCTATAGACTTCATTAGTTTGATAATCCGGCTCTTTTAAAGTTGGTCTGTTTAGGTATGATTATCTGAATGCAGTATATGTGCAGAATAGATTACACATGGTACAAGATTGTTGACACAGGTCTATTGCAAACAGAGATCAGTTGTAGGCTAAATGACTATCCTTTACTATCGCAGGTTCTATGAAATTCACAACTGGGAAGTATATGGCAAAACTGGGGAGTGCATATCTTTTTCCTTTTTTAGGAAACAAAAGAAAGAAAAAAAATGTAGTTTTTCAAATGCTAGCTTCTAGTTACCCTTTTATTTTATTTATTTTTTAACTTCTGGAATCATCAAGATCTTGTGTTGAATAATATAGAGTTAATTTAATTAGATTTATTTTTATTTTCCTTATTTAAGTATATTTCCATTCTTTTCCTAATCTATAATTCAAGCTGCGTTTTGCAGCTTTGGCTAATGGGAATAATTTTTTTAGTATATTAATTAAAATAAAGGAACAATCATTTCCTTTAAATGCCTTTTCAATATTAATGCCTTTCTGTGGCATCCCAAAACCCCCAACACTGTTTGACTTTGTACTACAAAACAGGATATCATCAAAGTTTGTAAAGATTTTTCTTAATTTCACACACACCAAAAAAAAAAAACATTAAAGTACTTATTGTGCTGGCATGATTTTTAACTACAAGCAAAATATTGTGCAAACTTCAAAATAAAATGGAAAAAGTACCAGACTACTCTGCAATTTATATTGTTTATGCACACCACTCTTCCCTTTGCAAGGTTGTGGAAGCATTCAAATGTACTTCTCAGATTAAGTCAAAACATTCAATTTTTTTTTTATTACATACATATGATAATTGGGGTTTTGCACCTTATCACATACACTGCAAGTGAGCTCCATGTCCAGAACAGATAACTGGATATTTCCAATGATCCCAGGCATTTATTTTTCTTATTGATTGAATTATATCAACAAATCGAGATAAACAGCCTTTTCTTTGATATTTTGAGCCAGATAGGTAACATCGTAGAGGTACAGAATGATTTTGGAAAACATTCATCCTACCAAAGTCAATGCCATGTCATATGCCTCGAACACGCTGGAAATTCTTACCATGTCATTCCAACAACCATCATGATTGACTTTAAATTTTACCTATATCGAGTGAACATGAATTTGCTGTACTGCCATAAAAGCACATTTTATGCACCTTTACACTAGAGATTTGTATCAAGAAACTTACAATGCAATTTATAATTAGTGTAAATATAAATATCTATCTGAGGGTAGGTGAAATACATCTGAAAAATATTGGACTCGCATTGGCTAGCCATAGTGTATGAAACTGTAGGAAGAACACATAAACAGGTTTATGTGCTCTTCATTGTATTTTTTTTTTTTGTGAATTTTATTGCAAATAGATGGTTCTGCAAGTGTTCAGCAACCAAGGAGTCAATCAGTGGGCACTAGATTCCCCAATTCCTTGACTTTGTGAGAAAATGTTGTTTTCTTTCTTATGCTATTAGTATCAATACTATTACAATAATAACTGACATAATGAGTATTATAATAATGTCAAAATATTAGTAACAAAAATAATAGAATTATAAAAAAAGAATCTTGCCAAAAATCAAAAGGGTAAAAATAAAAACTTGTGGAGTCACATCCATATGCAGACAATCATTAAACTAAAAATACAGTGGATATGGCAGGTATTCATGCTATTACTGCTAATGGGTTAATCCTATTTCAGTTACTCTTAACTTAATTACTCAAACACTGATATCTGGTAACATGCACACCAGCAATTATTCTATTATAACTCCCTTTGATAAGGATTTGAACACTTTAGGTAATATCTAAAGGGAACAGAACCTACTATAACATTCAGCCCCAATGAAAGCACTGTCTAGCCAGAATACACATTAGATTCACTGATATCACTCATCTAATTACATACAAGTATAATCATAATGATTTGGATATCAATATACATCAGGTTACCAAAGTTGTTTCCATAGTACAACCTCAATAATATGACACTGCATCTGAATATATGAATCACTTCTAACAAGGGTTCACTGGTACTGTGTGTCTAGTGTAAAAGATGTGTAATTTCCATGAAGCTAGTGTAAATATGCGATAGACAATTCCTTTGAGTTGGTAATATGCAAGTGTTTAGTTCTATTCTCTCTGGGTGCTACCAAGTGAGTGTCCTTTTCAGAGAGGATATTCATATCTATAAAAATGTATTACTAAATGATCCAATCACATAAAAGATATCTTTATATTTCACACTCTGATCATAACATACTAACACCTCTATTTATACAAGCTATGACATACAAATGGGCTCAGTTTAGACAAAATATAAACAAAATGTAAAAACAAACCTTATTGTGAGTAATCCCCGCTGAACATTTGAACCCTGTCTGTGCCAAAACAGCTGCTCGCATCTCCTCGCAAATAAGTGCTGCATAAGCTAATCTTACATTATCCCAGTGGGGATGGTTGGAATCAAGAGGCAAAGCTGCATCCTCTTCATTTTCAAAAACATTGTTTAACCATTCAAGAACACCCTTCTCTCTGACTCCTGGGGAAATAACATGCCATTAATATGATTACTTTCCCTTCTCTGAATATCTTGCTCTTCAATTATCACAAAACAATGAACAGACCCCATTAGCAAAAATCAAAGTTAGCCATCTTGCAGTTGAAAAAACAAACACCATTACCACATACCTTGCTGGTCCCCATCCTCAGTCTTATCATAGCCAACAACCCAGCTTGACTTCAGCATATCACCGGTAATGCGGGTGCCGTTATTCTTCTTGATCCTCTCTCCTACTGTTTGTGTTAATTCAATATAGGCTTCATCTATGCTGGCTCTCTCAACACAGTCACTGAACTCACACAGTACCTTTATAACCTCTTTACCAGCATCTCGATACCTAAAAGAAAGAAAAAGAAATAGATAAAATTCATTTTCTTTTCCTTAATCTGTAAATTTGGCTGATGGCTGAGGTAACGGGAAAGACTCTCCACCAGTGCACAAACCCTTGGAGAGTGATTAAATTCATTTGGTGTTTGGGAGGGGGATTTGGCATTATTCCTGTTAACAAATGAGTTTGGAATGTACTATCTGGAAGAGCGCCTGCTCTAGGGAGGATGCTGTTCCCATGCTCAGGATCCTATTCCTGGCCATGACCAGCTATGCAGGTTGTTTTGCAGAAAATTGAATATTATGGAAAAAAAGAAAGAGACACCAATAACAAAATGTTACTTGTTATTGTTATTGCACTAAATTATGGACTAGCTAGAGAGATGACATGGAGTCTGTGCAAAAAAATGGTCTTATACTATCTGGATAAAGCATATCAAAGGACAAATATAGACAATGGAAAATGCTTATGCAATAAAAAAGAAAATGACATTGCAAAGGGAACCAGATCCAATGGGTTAATAGTGTGGCACTGGAGATAGGATACAAGAATGCTGCACTTATTTTCAACAATATTATTCTTACATGGTCATGAAGACAAATGCCAAAAAAAAAAAAGACTGGAGTGTTGCATATAGTGTTTGTGATAAAAATGTTATAGGCTATATCTAACACATGATAATTATTTGGTACCAGTATCTGCTAGACATGAAATTCTGATTTAGAAA